GCTCTGGCAGACTTGGTCCTATGGTAGGTCTTAAAGGGTTAAAAGGCTGATTGGAGAAGCTGGGGATCAATGAACAGTACAATGTAATAGAAATAAATAGAAATGATTAGAAAGGCTTTAACAAAGAAATCCATTCTTTCAGCATCAGATGATGTTTGAAAATTAATAAGATACCAGGATACTTTACGAGGGGTGTGTTGAATATTTCCACTCAGGTCCACATGGGGGCTTCAGTGAGCCATCAGAGCTTCGAGGTACCTGTTACTGTGGCCTAAAGGAAAAATCATGGTAATAAGCCTCATGAAGAGATGGGCTATTATCTTTTGCCACTGGAGGGAGGGGCGGCTGCAGGAATCTCCTCTGCTCACAGCAGAGGAAAATGAGGAAAAGTACTGAGACACCAGAAGGGTCGGGTGTATTGTTAGAAACTACACTAAAGGTGCTGGCTCACTATGAAACTGTAGTTTGGCTTTTATAAAAGTTGCCTTTTGATTTGACGTATGACACGAGGCGCATACAGTCTGCAGGCATGAATGAACTTTGGTTTCAGAGGTCTGACCTTTCAATTACAGCGAACTTGCCCTCCGAGAAGACATTTACCACTGCCTTGTTCTCCCGCAACCCTTTTTCTTGTATGACAGTTTTACCTTTGTGTCTAGGTTCAAATTGTCAACATTTCCATCACTTGTGATTCTGCTCTAAATTCAAGGCAACAGTTAGAACAGATGAACTTCCTAAAAGCATCCCCTCCTCTTTCATTAGACAGTTGCCAGAACCATGAAGTAATTGTGGGTTTTCAGAGATTAGTGACTCGAGCGGTGGGTCTGCGATTAGCCTATTTTCTGGAGTGTGAAGCAGTGAGATGAAGATGCATTGCTCCTGAGCCTTCTGAGTCCATTTAGAGGCCTTTGCCACCGCTGAGGCCGCTTCTATCAGAGGAGGCACGCGTGATAAGCAGAAAGGGGACATAATTGGGTTTTGACATAAGCATTGCAGAGTCAAAATGGTGGATTGATGGACCTAATCATCACTTGACCAGCAGTGGACCACCACAAATGAATATTGAAGACATGGTTCAAATGGATTTACCCGAGATTTCGCCAGCTTGCTTTTTACCCTGTGTGAGTGACTGCAGTGGTCTTCATTCATTCGTTTTTCTTTCCCAATTATTTGTATTTTTTTAAACTGCAGTAAATTAAAGAATGGATGCAAGCAGGCAATGAGAGAAGCTCACAGGGAAGAATAATGCTTGAAATGAAATCACTTTGATTTTGATTGATATTCATTTTTAGTTTTCACTAGACAACCAGGGCTTTCACTGCTTGCCCTGAATTGCAAGCTTTTCTTCTTGAAAGTATTTGTTTTAGGATATGCAAAATTAAAAACAAAAAACTAAAGCTTTAAAAAGTACAATATTTGTTTGCCAAATATATTTGACTAATAATAGAAATCAGCATAGATATAGAAATACACAAGATAGAAAGTAAATGACTTTTTTCTGTCAGTTTCTTAACATCACATTTGTTTCAAACTTCTCTGATCATTAGGCTTGTTTTTACAAACCTCACCACCTTCCCCTAGATTTTAGGACTCGCTTCACTATTGCCAAAAATAAAGACCCAGATCATCCAGGAATCTTTGTGGGTTACTAATGAAGCCTGCTGGCATCAAAGTTTCCCCACAATGGTGACCATGTGAGACCAAGACTCACAGATTGTGAGGATGTGCATCTCTGGCTCATTAGGCACCCATTTGGACAACGATCCTCCACAGGAAGCTAATTCAGAGTCTCACATGTGTCGAGACTTTGGACAGTTCTTTTTCTTACAGTTTCAGCAACTTTTAAACGGAAGCCCTGAAGTTTAACCTGGAAGTTCTTATTTTTTCATGTTCTCTTGAATGAATGAATCGTTTTAAACATTTGTCTGAATATAGCATTAAAGCGAAGCATGTCAATATCCGATTTTATATAATATCCGAGTTATGCATTTAAAAGAAAAATAGATAAACTTTTTAAATTGCAATAAGGCTTAAAGTTATGTGTGATTAGCCACTGAGTGACAGGTGGGTGCCGGTCTGCTAACTAAACTAGAGCACTGTGCTGTGTTTTAGCTGTTGTGCATTTTTTAATGGTATAATCTGACAAATAACAGGTCATCCTGTGCAATTAACTGGACCAACAGACTATTCAACAAATGTGTAAATGAAATTCTAGCGCTTTACTTGTGTACTACTTAGCATTAATTTGTAGTATTAGGGTTTTAATAATCACAATAACAACATGATGTTAATGTTTCTGCCATTTTGGATGTGTGACAATCATCGTCAAAATGTAAGGTTAAGTGAATAAGACCTAAAGACCTGCCAGTTACCTGTGGCAACTATTAGTTGCTAGGGAAAAACATGTATTTCATTGTCAGTTGGTGAGGAGAAAAAAGTTCCTTGCTGTTGCTAACAGAATGCTAACAGAATGCTAACAGAATGCTAACAGAATGCTAACAGATTGCTGACAGATTGCTAACAGATTGCCCGGTTGACTGTGGTTTACATTGAACACGTTGACTTGTGACACAAACCAAAACGGAGACTGTTTGAAGCACAGCTTATACTTTGAAGGTGAAAAATCCCCAAATCTGGTTTGTGTTACACTTTCTCAAGTTTTGCTACTACACAGCTAGTAGCTAGCAAATGTTTGCAGACAAACACGTTTCAAGTTTTATTGTCACGTACAGATAAATAGTGTAGCAACATTTACCTGTAATTAAATTCTTAGGCTCGTGTTCCTCAGCTTTACTTGAATATATATAGAAAGTGTACATGTTAAAGAAAGAAACAGCTGGGAACCAAAAAAATCATATTTGGTGCTAAACACACTTTGCGATTGAATCCGATTGCCACTATTTGCCAACCAGTCAGGGAATAAACATTTTTTCCTCAAGCAATGTGTGAATAATGTCACATGAGAAACCTCTGTAGCATTGTAATATTACACACACAACTATGGATGCATTTTGCTAAAACAAACAGAAAAACAACTAAAAAAAAACAGACTTTACAAACCAACGACGGGTGACATCACAGTGACTACATCCAATGTTTATATAAACTCTGTGAGAAGAACTGATTACTTTTCCCTTCAGCCTAGAGAGACATTGCTGTTGTAAAGAGTGTAGTTTTTCTTCTATTCAGCACGCAGCAAGATAAACTCAGTTAACCTTTGTTACA